AATGTTTACAACATGAGCGGCGTGTTGTATCAGATATACAAACTCAAGCCGAAGGCGAGAGTTTGTATATCTGATACAACACGGACGCAAATGTTGTAAACAACTTAAAAAAAACGACTCAGCTTATGAGCTCATTGGCGAAGTAATTTTAAAAATAAACGTTGTCTAAGCCGAGAAAATCAAAGTTAAAGTTTATGTAAATCAACATGAATCTGTATCACATATACAGATACGACACGCTTATGATTTTTCTTTGTGTTTTCTTCATGAATTATTAATGAGTTTTTTAAAATGTCGTATAACCTTATATATTGTTGCATGGTTTGTATAACGTTGTATAGTGTTGTATAGTGGTGTATAGTGTCGTATAGCCTTTATATATTGTTATATAGTCTTGTATAACACTATAGTGTGTTATAGTGTCGTATAGCCTTGTATATTATTGTCTAGTTTGGTATATAGTGTTGTATACTCCTGTATAGTGTCGTGTAGTCTTGTATAACGCTGTATATAGCGTCGTATAGCCTTATATAGTGTTCCATAGTCTTGTATAACATTGTGTAGTTTATATAGTGTTGTATGTAATGTTTACAACATGAGCGGCCGTGTTGTATCAGATATACAAACTCGAGCCGAAGGCGAGAGTTTGTATATCTGATACAACACGGACGCGAATGTTGTAAACAACTTAAAAAACTACTCATCTTATGAGTTCATTGGCGAAGTAATTTTAAAACTAAACGTTGTCTAAGCCGAGAAAATCAAAGTTAAAGTTTATGTAAATCAACATGAATCTGTATCACATATACAGATACGACACGCTTATGATTTTTCTTTGTGTTTTCTTCATGAATTATTAATGAGTTTTTTAAAGCCTTGTATAGTGTCGTAAGTACATTAATAAGTTCACCTGCTAACAAGATATGTAGCTTTTGACACTTCTTTGTAAAAAAACATACAGACATACAGACAGACAGGATATATAATAGTGTTATGCGCTTCCATTATAAATAGTGCTATGGTATATATAATAGTGTTGTTATGGTATACATAATAATGTTATGTTTCCATTGTTAATGGTATTAACAGTTCTTGGCTCTTGTGCATTATATTTATCGATTATTAATAGTGTTATTAACTGTGAGTCATTCCAGTCTATTACTCTAGAAGTGATCGCACTTGACTTTGTGTCTAAGAATATTGAAAATTCCGCAAATTAATTAACCTTAGTGACAATCGCATAATAGCTAAATGTGTGGAGGTAGTCCTGCGGGCCACATTATACATGATGACCCATAATTACTTAATTTGTATTAGCTATATTCTTTGCTCAGAAAATGGACCTGTTTCATTACAGAGAACCGTTTTCTTAATTATAGATGATTAGAATATCATTGTAATATATATGCATGCGATTGTTACAATATTGTTACAATTGTTTAAAAATTATAATAGTGTTAAGTTTCCATTATAGTGTTATTTAGTTTTGAATTATCCACGGATTATAAACAGATTTTGAACAACCTAACCCAAAGTTTTGGCCGCGAGGCAGCATTTCCTTGCGTTAGTAACTTCTAGTAATCCATTACTTACATGCAGACATTACAGATACTAACTGACATACCTTACAATCACACAATATTAAATTTATAAAAATCTAAGTTCCTAATATAATCTTTGAATGTTTATAGTTCAGTTGACGTAGCTAATTTGTTGTGATAGTGTTCTTTACAGAACCTTTTCAAAGGCTCTATATACGCGAAGTGAGTTTTTTGCCACATTTTGAAACCTGTTCCACAAGGAAGGAACCAGGTAAGAAAACCTCCGTTTCCCGCGTTCATTGTGGTTTTGGGAAGACACAACTCAGTTGTTGTGTAGTGTCCTTGTGGAGTGACGGTGTTTCGACTTTTCTAAGCGCGTGTTAAGGCAAGGTGGACTGATTTTGTATCAGCAGTAATTGTAGGTTTGTAATTAAGGATGTGTTGCCGATGGTATCGTCTACGAGAATGATGCCAAGTGTTTTAACAGATTTAGGGGCGGGGGGGGGGGGTAGTGAAGTCTGTGTTCAACAATCCCGGCAGCTCGTTTTTGTGAAGTCAAGTGCATCTTTGGAACCGGATCCCCATACACTGCAGCAATATTCAAAACAAAACATAAAAATAAGTATAGGTAATCATGCGATGGCGAGTACAATTAGGGATTAATACGTACTATTAATTCCTAATTGTATGAGCAACATCGCATGATTACTTGTTTATTATTAGCATGACAAAATTGGATACGTACTTCTCAATGTCAACATCATATTCTCTCGCCAAAGCCCAGTCCTGCTAGACGTTCAACCAAAATTTGCTTTTGTTTGTATTTTCATTTAGTTCTTTTGTTCAAGCAAAATTTGGTGCTTTTGTTCGTATTTTCATCTAGTTCCTTCACGGAAATTTCATTTCACATCTGTGTTTAAAATACCTTTTCCTTGGGAAAATCATTAATTGTACCGCAGTACAGTCAGTGAAATAATTGTACTCCTCTCAACCAATCAGCATCCAGTAATTTTGTCATGCTAATAATAAACATGATAACAAACAACAACGAAACAAACGATGGGTTAAAGCCGGTTCGTTTTTTTCTATCGTTTGCCTGCTTGTTGTGTCATTTAGAGAGTACCCTTGTAAAGTTCCAATCAAGTTTTGTATTGTAAATTTTTATTCATTTACACGCCCTTCATGGAAACGAGCTGACAGTTGAGGCTAGCGTAATGTGTCATGCATGTATATCCATGTATACATAGTGTACTTTAAGAATTCAAAAGGGGATGGATGACCGCCATGACGAGTCAACATTATACTATTTTATGAAAGAGGGCCTATACTTTTAGCGTGAAGTGTATGGAGTAATCATATTTAGCTAGAATACTGCCATATTTAATTTAAATGCGCGGAGCACATGCACGGAGTCTGGGACTATAAAATTCGAGCTGTTTCAAACCAAACAGTGAGAAAACTTGATTTTCTTTCCCACACAACTGCACGAGATACTCATGGCAAATATACAGAATACAGATGGTTTTAGGTCGCTATAGTTAATAGCAAAAATGAGGAAAAAATTGGAACTAAACAGGTGCAAACCGCGCTAAAGTGGAATTATAACCAGGGTCTCTCGGACGAGCGCGACGTGATCTAACCCTAATCTAATTTTAATCTCACCCTAACCTAGTCCTAATCTAAATCTGGCGACCTTTTTTCATGACCTTTTTTTAGGTGTTCCCGCCCTTGGGACCTTCCTTTTCTTAAACATTTCCTGCCCTCCGCGTCCACCCTCCCTTTTAAGGTATTGGTAAATTAAGGCTGTTTTAATTTTGGAGTATTTCGAATTTAAGCCATATCCTTAATTTTCAAGAGTTTTACAATTAAGACATAGTCTTAATTTTGAAATATAATTCGTTATTCGTCTGACACTCAGGCTATAATTTTGAGATATTAAAAACCTAATAAGTAGTCTTATTAGGCGCAGGCCCTTCATTGATAACAGTATCAATTCATATACTGAAACAAGTTAACCTGTCAAAATATGATTAAATTATTATTATTATTATGTTCCACCTGGAATACACGGAACCGGAAGTGCAAGACAACTTGCAGTAGTTTTTAAAGTGCTAATATACTTCGTTTCTTCGTACTACGTCTCTGTGAAAATCGTAATACTTAAATACTTCGTTTCTTCGTAATACGTCTCTGTGAAAATTGTTACGGGTGCTAAAGAGTCCAAATTCAAGAGTATGCTCTTGAATTTGGACTCTTTAGCACCCGTAACAATTTTCACAGAGACGTATTACGAAGAAATGAAGTATTTGTGCTGACATATTTTGATAGAATAATTTTGCCTGGCGAAAACAGCTCAACTTCTGCGAAATAGCATTTATCTGAAGCCAATCACATCTCTCCCTTTAGTCGTCTAACCCAGAGCTTAATTTTCAACGAGTGAAAACTAAGGCTATGGGGACAAGAATGGGTTGAATTCAACCTTAGTTTTTCTCAGCAGTATAAATTTAACAGAATGTTATAAAACAATGCGCTTTTATCGCGTGGCTGTGAGATTTTAAAGATGATTGGTAATCTCGATTGCTTTGAACGATAAGGTGAACAACCATTATTCTGTTTTGTTATCGACGAATGTATACAACTCATAAAACTGCTGTATTTTCTTCGTAATACCGATTTGTGTCCTAATTAAAGTACTTGTTGGTGGAGAAATTCACTAAATCGAACGGAAATCGAGGGAAGATGGTATATTGAAGTAGACTTCGGCGGAATTAAATTCAAAATTCAACAAAAACATTTTGAGCCATGCATAGAACTTAATGTGTCTTCTGCTTTTGGCGATACATATAGCGCGCTTATTGTTGCCTTAGCTCTACATAGGAGACCCTCGGGCTAGATTCTGGAACTTTTTCCAGTTATATCTGCTTCAAGTATTTCATCTATTTCTGCATTTACTTTTCCACTTTGACTTAAAAGTAATCTTCGAAGTTTTTGAATAACTGACGCTCATTATTATTTATAAATATATCTTATTGAATGGTTTGACCACTGAGCTATGGCTTTCACAAATAATCCGGCCCAGTATTTACGAGTTTCAAACGTATTTTTCCGAGCCCAGAAAAGGGCGATAAAAAATGCGAGAAGAGAGTATAAAAGAAAATCAGGGATCTAAAGAGGGTATGGAAGGAAGATCTGAAAGAAAATCTGGAGGAAGAGAAATGATACGATGCTCATGCAGTAATGGAATTAAGGCACTCTCAAAGGCGCGGAAAGCAATTGAATAACTATACTTCATTTACAATCAATATAGTCAATTCCCTTTAGAAACTGTGTTTCACGTCGTACGTGTTTTTGATTTTTACAAATGATTATTTTACAGTTACAATACAGATATTTTTATCCTGAATTCTTAAGCATTACTAACTATATATAATGAATATACTTAAGTACATTACTAACTATTGTGCACTAGCTTTGTCATTTTTTATTGAATATTGGTATTTCAATTCTAACAAGATGTATTACGCATCATTCATTTCAGAAACGTTTCCTAAAATAAAAAATAGATTGACATAGATTAGAAGTAAATAGGACTTCGCATAAATTATCAAATAAGTGAAAACAATAAGTGAGTGAATGGTATGGACAACTTAGCCGGCTATGTGGGGTCGAAGGTACAACCCACCACTAGGGGGGGGGGGGGTAGAGTTGTTTTTGAAAATGTTGGACCTTTATGAAAGTAAATTTCGAGCTATACCGTACGAAGCAATTTAATGAAGTAATACGAATTGATTGCGTTTGGTGCAAGCTTAGTTTTAGTCAGGAAGATATAGAGGCTCAAAATTATGGAAAACTTACCATATCGTGGGACAATTCCATTTTGCGTTCATATTGTGCTCTGATGGCTAGTAAGTACGCTTCTGAATGTTGGCCGCGTTAAAATTTCTTGTGGGCTCCTGCCGACACATTTTTCTTCGAATTTTGTATTAAATTCTATTACAGTTAAAAAATGTGAAATTTCTGATACATTTGTAATACAAATGACTTGCATCAATAGAAAGCTAACAAGAAAAATACATATGAAACATTTAAATGGTTAGGGACGGACCATTAGAAAAGTGATGGGGAGGGTGGGGAAAAAACAGAAAAAAAATCCATGCAAACAAAAAAGGTTTGAAAAAAAATACATGCAAACAGACTTGTTTAATTAAAAAAAAATTACAAACAGAACAACAATAGAGCTTTAATTTTAAATTTACATCCGACAAAATTGAACTAAATCTTTGGAATATTTCAGAATATAAATATATCAAAATATATAATATATTAATATGCAATTTCTTTCAATATTAACAGTACCTCTTATGTAGTTTTATTATATACTATCAAAATATTTTCTATTGTATTTAATAATTAATTCTCATTCACACTGCCACTGTCCTCAGTGGCGTAACTACTATGGGCTTGGACTGGGAGAATCCGGGGGCCACCAACCCCAATGGGCCCGCAAATGGGGGGCCCCAGGCTCAGGCTATAGAGCAAAAACATTGGCCAAGGGCCTCTGATATGTTACAATGGCGTTTTCTGACCATCAGAATTCTGCAAAATCTCTCCCCAAAGTCCGGGAAATGGTATTTCAGAGAATTTAGATTAAAAAATTTTCCGGGTGAGCATGCTCTGGACCCCTAGAAAACTTGTCCATATATGGTGCTTAAAGATATAATTTTGCAGTGTGTATTAAAGGGATATTTTTTTGTCAAGAGAACAGTTTCGTTAACATTTGTATAGTTGTATTGGAAAAAAAATTACATGCGAGAAGACATATTTTAAAAAAACATGCATACACAGCTGACAACCTGGAAAAAAAATGCAAACAAAAAAAATTTACCCCCCCCCCCATCACTTTTCTAATGGTCCGTCCCTTAGTTGGGATCTTCAAGCGGTTTTCGAGTTATTGCAGTTTCTAATGTGGAAAATATGCCAAAATCTCGCAAAATTCCTGGGTACTTGTCTGAAAACACGCATTCAACAGTTCAGAACTCAAGAAGAACTTGAAAAACCCGGGTAACCGTTTAAATGTCTTATATGTAGTTTTTTTGCAAGCTTCCAAATGATGTAAGTCATTTGTGTTAGAAATGTATTTGAAATTTCACATTTTTTAACTGTAATATAGAGTTTAATACAACGTTCGAAGAAAAACGTGTCGGCAGGAGCCCACAAGAAATTTTAACGCAGCCAACATACAGAAACGTACTAGCCTAATTCGTGGCACAATATGAAGGCAAAACGGAATTGTCCCACGATACTACATAAGTTTTTTCCTTCTATCTGCCCGACTACTTAGTTTATGATAATTTTCGGGAAAGTAGCTCACATTTCGTTATACTACCCAAACATGTAACGCAGAATATTGTTTAAAATTAATATTTTAATGAAAAAGCACATTTCCTTTGACATTTCTGTGGTAGGGATATATTTCGGGTTATAATACACTTGTCTAAACCGGCGATTGTCTACGCTATAGGGTGCTGGCTTCTATTGGGATCCTGAATTGGATTTTTAAGGCAATGAAAAAAAAAACGATGGAATATTTCGATCCGAATCGTGACTATAGATCACATTCGTAATTCCGGTTATAGATATGTCGTTCTATCGGTTCTATCCGAACAATACGAAAGGGTGAACAGCATTGAGAATTTTTTAGCTTTAATTTAAGCCTAAAGTTTGTTTGTTTGCGTATCTGAACAAGAAATTATATACAAAAATGTGTAAACACTTCAGTACATTTACCGAAGTGGCATATGATAAAAACCAAACATACTTGCAGCGTGGTGAGTCCGGGATTGGATGCACCTCGGGTGGCTGGAAGTTACCCGAACCACCTCGATCTCGCTTCGCTCGGTGAGTTCGGGAATCTTCCAGCCACCCTCGGGTGCAAGTATATTTGTTATAGAGTCATCACTCATCAAGTAGCTATATACCGCACGTAGCTATACCGCACGCAATTTAATGAAGTAATACGAAGTGCTTGCCTTTGGTGTTAAGTTTAGCTTAGTTTATGATACTTTTCGGCAATGTAGCCCACATTTCGTTATACTACGCAAATATTTAACGAAGAATATCGTTTAAAATTAATAGTTTAATGCAAAGAAAACATTTTCCTTGATATTTCTGTGGTAAGAAGAAAATAGTTTGGGTTATAATATTGAGAAGCAACCGGCGACTGTCTAGGCTATAGGGGGGTACCGGCTTCTATCCTGAATTGGATTTTCAAGGCAATGAAAAAAAAAACGATGGAGTATTTCGATTCCTGGATCGTGACTAGATGGCATTCGTAATTCCGGTTACAGATATGTCGTTCTATATCCAAACAATACGAAAGGGTGAACAGCATTAGACCTAAACAATATGATGAAAGTAACCAAGGAATTATTACAATACCTTCATTGGAAGGTTGAGTGGAAATATTTTCTAAAGTATCTTTCGCATTATCAACACTCATTCTTCGTCGTTTCTTCAAAGGAAATCCTTGACGTATTTCACTTCGAAGTTTATCAGCAATACATTCTTCTTCTTGGAATCTTGCTCCGTCTTTTCGCTTTCTCTTGTTGATTTTCTCCGCTTGTTTCGCTTCCTGTGGTCGTCGTTTCTCATTATCCTTCAAAAAGATAATTACACTGGATTAACTACAAACAACGAGACACTTGTTATATAGCATGGAAATACTTGATAAAAATGACACGCCTTTTTAAACCTTCAAACATTCAGTTTCGTAAAAAACATCTAATATTTATATTTCGTTCGTCAGTTTTTACCAAAATTTCGTTTTAATTATTGAATTATGATTGGAAACAGCTATTGACAATTTAATTATTGACAAGCTTTCGGCCAATAGCTTTCGGCCACTTGTGGTCAACGCCAGACATAGCGAGCAAATAAATCTCAACTGCATGATCAACTGATCATGCACACTCGATAAATTTTGCGAAAAGTAATGTACAAAAGTTGCAATCCATTTCCTTACTTCAACAGCTTGATCTAACTTGAGACAGAAAGTCTGGAAAGTGTTTAATAAATCATCTAGTTTATCTTGCTTTCATCTTCACAAAGATAACGTGTCAACTCTTGTGTAAGTTTATGAACCAATTTAATTTGTTCTTGAATGCTCTCCATCTCTTTTGTACAATCCTAAACATATACAGACAAGGAGGTTAGACTGTTTGCTATATGAGGATATCCAAAAAATTTACCTCGTTGTTATCGACGAACTCTTCATGCGTGAACTGTATATCCGGATGGTAGCTGTTAAGTTTATTTAAAATCAAGTTAATATCAGATGGTTTGGCCAAAACTAATGTGTCATCAACATATCTTATATAGAATTTTATAGTATCGTTTTCGAAAAGGTCTTTTATTATTTCGTCTTCTAATGCGATCATGATGATGTTGGCTAAAGTCGGACTTAAAGGCGAACCCATCGAAACTCCGTCAATTTGCTTATAAAGATCCCCGAAATTGACGGAGTTTCGATGGGTTCGCCTTTATGTCCGACTTTAGCCAACATCATCATGATCGCATTAGAAGACGAAATAATAAAAGACCTTTTCGAAAACGATACTACAAAATTCTATATAAGATATGTTGATGACACATTAGTTTTGGCCAAACCATCTGATATTAACTTGATTTTAAATAAACTTAACAGCTACCATCCGGATATACAGTTCACGCATGAAGAGTTCGTCGATAACAACGAGGTAAATTTTTTGGATATCAAATTAACATCTAACGCCACTTCGATTTTTCGTAAGAGCACACACACAGGCCAGTATATCCATTTATCTAGTTTCACTCCGTGGTCGTACAAAATTGCGTGGATTAGGTCACTTGTGCATAGGGCTTACAAAATTTGTAGTAACGAAAGTTTAATTTCGGACGAAATGAGCAAAATTCGGAAATTTATGTCTTGCAACGGATTTCCTAAAACATTGGCCAACAAACTTATACAGAAATTTACTCCTAAGGCGGATCAAGCTTACATGAGCTTACATTAACAACCACATCGAAGACCAAACAGAGCAAGTTTCCAAAGTTTATGTTCGACTTCCATACATATAGGTAAACGCGGAACTGACCTATACACAAATTTAAACTAAAAATTTCACGAATACTAAAACAACCGTGTAAGTTCATTGTTTATTGGGATACCACCACAACAGGCTGCTTTGTTTCGTGCAAAGATAAAACACCTAAGGAGTTTCAAAGTTCGGTTGTTTATAAATTTTCATGTCCTGGGTGCGGCAAAACATACATAGGAAAGACCGACAGATGCCTCTACAAAAGACTGAACGAACATGCAATCGCAGACAAAAACTCAGAGATTTATAAACACATTAACACTTGCGAACAATTCAACTATCTCACAAATCTATTACAACTGAACATAGACGAACCCAACACTGACCAATTTAACCTAACAGCCTTCCTACTGAACAACTGCAACATTATAGACAGGGCTAAGCACTGGTCAAATCTGCTGTTCAAAGAAGCACTCGCCATTCATCGACAAAAACCGGAACTGAATCATGGGACTAAAGCATCCAGAGAACTATCAGTTTTCTTTTAATTAATTATATATCAAATTACGTAGAGTATATATAACGCATGCACTTGTAATATAACCATTCCTGATGATGACTAAATAAAGTCGAAACGTTGAATCAAAATGCTTACTTTATTCGGAGTTACCGTTGTATTGTATTTTATGAAAATACTCATGCAGTGGTTCCCGCAATTATATGGTATGTGACCTAAGTAATGACTTAAATTGACTCAGAGAATCAGTGTTTCTGACGGAAACGTCCAAGTTGTTAAAGTCTTTCGAAGCGAGGTAGGTTGGTTTATGCTTACACCAGTTCGTGTTGACTTTCGGGAGATGGAGGTTGTTACACGATCTTGTGCTGTAGGAATGGATTCTGCTGTTAGTTGTCAGATTGAAGTCGAAATCTATCAGTCCATTAGTGCATTTGTAGATAAAGATACATCGATGTTTATATCTGCGAGATGAGAGAGTTGACCAGTGTAATGTAGCGAGAGCTTCGGTTACCGACGAAAGAGGAGGGAGATCTTGTATTAATTTAGCTGCTTTATTTTCCAAGGTTTGCAGGGAGTTCATAAGTTCTGAATTGTTTTTATCGCCCCAAATTACATCGGCATAGTCAAATAGCGGTAGTATTGTCGAAGTATAGAAAATCTGTCTTGCATCCAGGGGTGTCGGATTTATAACTTTAATTTTATAATAATATATATGTGCTGTAAATATGTTGAAACTTGCAAAATTATACTAATAACACTTATTCTTATTTCAATTAGTTGTGTGACGCATGTATGTCAAAGATAATTGTAAGTTCGTTATAGATAAGTTGAATTCAAGGCAAAGTATGCTAATAACATTATTGTATGTATTGCATGATGAAAATATGTAGGTACGGTTTCCGGACCGAAGTTATAAAATGTTGTGACGAACGCTAATTTAGTGAGAATGGTTAGAGGTCGTAAAGTAAAAGACCAGATTGTTGTAATTAACGTATAGTATTTGTGTGAAATAAACCTTGTAAAACGAAGAGTGAGTGTTGAACCAGCCGTGCAGAAATATTCGTTGAACGAAGCCAGCGAATTCTGCGACAACCACGAATGACACTTGCCAGAGCAATTTGCGTGGCGCGTGGAAATGACGTTGCATAGGGACACAAAGAACAAAGGAATCGCCGCGAGTTCCGCCTCTGTATACTTTGTGGTGAGGATGACCACCCACCGAAACACGCACAGTGACCCACGCCCGCGATATTTGATGAACTTTAGACTTCCCTAATGCTTTCGTTTTCCCGGGTATAAATAGCCGGGGGGAATTAGTACCTTCGCGCCGCCGGCTCGGGGATCAAAATACTGATAAAATCCGTTTCCAGCTTGATTGTATTTGCATTTGTTGTATTTGCACTGTTGCAGACAAAGTTGTGCAATGGTGCCTCAAGAGATGCTTCGAATGTGTAATAAAGGGCTGTTCGCAGGAGTTGGGCTGCATGGCCTTAAATTGCATTGTTTTTATGATATTTTAAGATTGTATTCATATGGCTGGACCATCTTGCCATTGCCACAATGTCTGATGTTCAAACAGGCTTTAAAATCAGGTTACAATGCATGCTTGAAAATATGCAACAATTTCACTGCTAACAATATACCCGAAAATCCTGCCTCTTGGGCAGATCTGGATTGATTTGTCAGAAGGGATTGGAGGTTTTCTACTTGTGATCGGGCAAGGGGAGCTAGCCAAGGGTGCTGGGTCAGAGTCAAACTCATGTGAACAGCTTCTAAGTCCTAATTATATTGATAAATTATGTACACTTTGGGATGGTAATGCAATTTGTAAACTATTCCACATTTTATTTAGTAAAATTTAATTATATACATTGTTTTTGTTGTTTATATTAACACCTTGGACAGTGTATATTTACGCCTTTGGACCCTGTAAATAAACACCATTGGAGGGTGTACCCATTCTAAGCCAAAGACGTTTAAGAACAATTATCAAGGTATTTGCATGATAAAAAATATTTAAAACTGCTCTCCATATACATGTAATGCATGGTTTAATTCTTGCTTTTACCAAGTAAACCCAGAGATTTTCAATGTCCCCCTCCTCCCGTAGAATTCACTTGAAGTGACTGGGGCAAGGTAGCTATAAGTATAAGTATAAGTAGTTTAATTTAATTAAAGTCAATTAAAATTTACAAATTGAGCTTTTTGAATATAGACCATTGTAAAATTTTTTAAAATTTGTTTAACCCTTTATAGTGGCAATGTCCCTACTTTGGTATATTACTCCGTCTGGTGCTAGACAATTTTACTCAAGGGCAGAATGTAGACTTGCCACAAGTCGACCTCGAACCAAAACGTCGGCTCACACTCGCTGCTTGCGTTTCGTTCGAGGTCAACTTGTGGCAAGTCTAGGCAGAATGCTGCCACTCAATGAGTTAATATATTTTCAGAACAATTACCATCAAATTTAATCTATTTTGCTGGCAAAATTGCCTTGGAGGGAGTCCTTGATTTGTCAAGTCTTTTTATTGGGGGGGGGGGTGAATGTTGTAAAAAACAGAATAGAAACTGTAATAAGTTCTTTGTATGTTTGCATGGTGATAAAATATAATAGGTTTTGTTTGTGGAAACACCACGTAAATTTATTGGCACTGATGAAGATCCGGGCTTACGGATCGAAAGCTTTGCAGCAATAAATTTACGTGGTGTTTCCGCAAACAAAACCTATTAGAATAGCAACTGGTTTCAGAATGGGAAGAATTGTTGTAATATAGGTAATATAATTCTAAGACAAATCATCCAAAGGAAGCAATCATTCTAGCTCTTGTAGTGTATGTTGCAACAGGGATGGATTTACTGGGGTGGGGGGGCTGTGCACTCCCCCAGCCCTGGCCAGAGGGAGTGCTATTTTTCATGATAAAGCAAAAAATTATTACAGGCAAAATGAGATACAGTAATTTGAGTATTAACATGATGATAAGCGAGCTGTGAACAATTGCAATTCAAATACAGTAGTACAGCAAGACTTTGCAGTAGTGAAGCAAGTTGATGGGCCGGCGGCACACATGACCGACACAGAGCTGGCAGAGCACCCCCCCCCCCCGCCTTACCAGATAATGCTGGATCCATCCCTGTGCTGCAAAATGTATTTTCTTCATAGTCAGGCATTCACATGAATGAAGATTAGAATTGCATCATGTTATACTTATATAGTCTAAAATATTTAGGAGGGGTCTCCATTATTAAATTAAGAGATTAAAAAAGGGTCCCATGACATTTTGACATAAGAATCTCCCACTCCACTCTAGGGTATAATGAATGGTCACTTAAAGTAAATGCCATCTTCTAACTGGTTGGGCACCTTGTCCCTTTTGTGATGGAAAATCTATTCCCTACCTTTATCCCCTGGGACAAAAAATTCAAATCAACTCTCCACCTAACCTGAAGTTCAGGCCCTAATTTGAAATAGGGCCTGACACAAAACCTGTTTAGACCGTGGGGCCTCAGTGCGTGGGACGCCCACATGTTATTTTTAGACACACATGCAATATGATTTACAAGTGTTGTAGATTTCGTTACACAAAAAAATTATATTCTCATGAATATGTCCGCAGAGCATTTCCCTTTTTAATTAAACTTAAAAATTCAAGGTACTTTTATATAATTAAGAGTCAATTTCTTTATTTAACCGAACAGGCGAACAGCAAACATAGATTTAATTAGTCAGTTCTGTGCACGGCTTGACTGCCAAGCTTTCTCAAGGTCTCAACTTGCTGGACGCTGATCAGTACTCTAACGACTATAAACGGGCTAACAACAGCAACAATTAAAATTCTCAATCATACCACGAAGAAGGCGATGTAGCTAAGAAAACAACGCCGGTAAGACCTGATATTAGAAATAAGACTTTTGCCGGAGAAGCAAGTTGGCAGACCATCTTGGCTGTCAACAACAAGCTTTCGAATACATGACTAGTTTGGCTGTTCTTTCAGTGTGTCCGAAATTCGTCAAAGATTTTGATGAAGCCCTTTCAAAATACTGTTTGTTTGATTTATTTCCTGCCATAAAGCATAAAAGAAAAGAAATTTGAAGAAATCGATAATGGAATTTGTTACGTGCGTTTGACTTTTATATTAATTCTCGCCTTGACCGAGCTATTTTTAAAACTGTTGTTTATGTGAACTTGCAACCAATCAAAATCCTTCATGATGCTGATCAACCAATCAGATTTCACGTCCACCAGGTGGACGGGAATCCCACAGTTTAGATAGGTTTTGTGTCAGGCCCTATTCTGTGATTAGGGCCTGAACTTCAGGTTACTCTCCACCCTGATAATGTGCAGATGGTAACAGCAAGAACTGAAGCAAGCAAGCTTTACTGGAGTACATACTATTATTAGGAAGCATCAATTCGGACATGCTAATTTGCCAGTCATTATTTTAAGCGTAATATTTCTTATCTCGTATAGAATTCTTAAGGTCTTGTTTACATTTTACTGGAAGCAAACTAAGATGCGTTTCCAATATTTGGGTCATATCACTCATATGTCAGTTTTGCAGCTTGCCAGCTTCAACAACATTTGGCTGCAAGGAAAATGTAAACAAGGAAAGAGCATATAACACCTCATCTGTGTTTAAAATATCAATGAATAAGTATTCCAACCATTGGCACTTTATAATATAAGTGACATTCAACAATAGATCAATAACATATACAGTATATGCAAAAAAATTTTTTTTGAATCACTGTATAAAATATTCCTCATAAACTCCCTCCAATCGTCGCACAGCAAAGTCTTTGGAAGGGTAGAACCAAGTTTAACATCCCCAGTTCAAAACACTTTCCGTGTCCTCTTAGGCAAGCCTGTCAAGCTGGAGAACATCTGTCGTAATACTATTATATTTTGGCTGTTAATTTTGTTTAGCGAACGAACGATATTTACCAAACCCAGTTGGACGAACAGCAACTACATAGTTGCCATGTAATAAAAGCTGAAGAATCTGATTTCGAGTACGTCGGTAGCAAAAAGAAGGAAAAATTTCAAAGACTAAACGCATTTTTAAGCCGCTCTAAGCACTAAAATTTTGTGGACACTCTTAGGTTGGCGGTCATCTTGGATTTTCTAATCATTATTATTATAATTTATTACACTCACTATTTCTGGGTGTTGAAAGTGATGTGACCGGCCGGTGCCAGGGCCTTTTCCCGCCTTCCCAATGACAAAAAGGGAAAAGCCCTGGGAACGAGGTTGGTTAGCCTGCGTAGCAGGCGGTATTCGCGGGCACGAGAGAATGGGAAGCTTGCTATTTCTAGCTTCTACCGCCTGCTACGCAGGCTAGAGGTTGGTATACTACAGTATACTACTCAGAGGCTTGGCTGACAGTCGTATTGCATTGTAGTATTGTATTACAGTTAAATATATTTAATCAACAGCAACAATAACCCTGGCTGGTAACCGTGATGTTTTGTAGTACACTATAGGTTCTATAGTATAGTATACTGCAGACAAGCCCGGCTGATTGCCATATTGCCGGCTGGTAGCCGTGATGTACTGTAGTATACTATAGTATACTACCTACAGGCTCGGCTGACACTCGTATTGCATTGTAGTATTGTATTACAGTTAAATAATCCCGGCTGGTAGCCGTGATCTATGCCGTGATGTATTGTAAATATTGTTTTATAGAGTAGATACGGCTCCGCTGGTACTGTACCCTTGGCCGTGTACAATGGTGTGCGTATTTACGCAATCACAAATCTCGCGCATGGCTAAGAATAACCTGTATATATACAATAAATTAACATATTTTCCGTGTAAGACGTGGTGGCGCAGGGGAACAACACTTAGCGTGTATGCCGAGGGTCGTAAGTTCGAATGTCAGAGTGAGAGCGAATAATTCTCAATTTTTCTCTTTGCCGTAATTTTCTTCTCGTTTATTTACCTGGCGCATAACTAGCAGTACGCATTAGGAACATGAATTTAGATGCATTTCGATGATTTTCGGAAAATTTAATGTAATTTTGGTGGTTTTCTGCTTATGAAACATTCTAGAACCAATCTCCGAAATGCGCGCATTTTTTGAACGAATAGTATACTATAGTACAGCCCGGCTGGCAGCCGAGCAATCGGAGACAAAATTTCCGGCTGCCAGCCGGCGTCAAACGTGCTTATCGGGTGATTGTTTGTATTATTTATTTGTCAAATATGCCTCTTTATGTTTATTTACTTGTCGTTTTAAAGGACAACTGTCTCGATTAGCCCCTACGGTTACTACAGTTGCCCTGCACTATACTGTTATTTAATTTTTGTTTTTGTAAATACTTCCCTTGTAATTGTTAATAGTGCTTAATAAAATGTGTTGTTGTTTGTTGTTGTTGTTGTTGTTGTTGTTGTTGTTGTTGTTGTTGTTGTTGTTGTTGTTGTTGTTGTTGTTGTTGTTGTTGTTGTTGTCGTTGTCGTTGTCGTTGTCGTTGTTGTTGTTGTTGTTATAACTCTGTATTTTGCGGGTTAAAATCGGCTTATCTTCGCCCCAGGCGGACAAAAAACATAATAGTCATAATAATTAACCATTCCGAAGTTGATAAGAGGGCTGGGGAGAGTGTTAAAAAGTGCCCAAATTAAGAGCAATCTCGAAACTCGAGCTTGAAATCCTCTGTGGAGGCTTGAGGCCCTGGGACCGAGGATGTTGCAGGGTATGTAAACGTTCTCAAGCTTTGGGTACTTACTAATTTTAATTGAGGTGGTCTTTTTAGTGATTTGGGTCATTTCTTAATTTGTTCCATCCTCGTTCCCAGGGCTTCTCGGCTGCCTGCGTCAGCGCAACTTTTAACACTCGTCCCCAGTCCACTCATTTGCGGAATGGCTAGCAGACTAGTCCCTAGGCCTCTTAGTTCGCCTATTTCGCGTTTTTGCATATTAATGAGGTGAGTGACGTCAACAGGTGGGCAATTTGTCTGAGCATGCGCGAAGAAAATCAATATGGCGACATATATTTAGGAGTGTTTCGTGGCTTTATCTGGTTTTAAAGCTGATAAAACAACATTTTAATGAACAAAACTTTGTACTATTTAGTGGAAAACATTAAGCTTTTTGCTTCTTGCTTTGAAAACAAGCAAGCTCACTTTTTGAAAAATTCTAATCTAATATTTTACCCATCAGTTGTCTAATCTGAACAGAAATAGATAGAACACTTGGCTATATAAGTTATAAAAGTACTGTTAGCTGATCTGAAAGACTTCAGTATTCCTGGTACACATTTTAATAAAGAATGAAATGTAATTTTAAAAATTAAATATGCATATAGTAAACAAGTTTTTATTAATAGAACAACATAGAATAAGTTGTTATTCCCTATTTTTACAAAAACAAGTTTGGAAACAGGATCTAGTCCTCCAGCTTGATGTCATATTCCACTTATTTGGATATTTGAATAAAGGAATGTAAAATAATAATTGAAACTGGACCATAATTTGATACCAACACTCAAGTGAACAGATACTATCACCTAAAAATAAAAGAAAACAGAACCTAAATTTATCATCTAATGCCATGAATAAATCTTAGATACTACAGGCATATAGTGAGCACAACACTTTAGCAAACTCGCTAAAATAAAATAAGTTAAGTTATGCTATGATAAGAGGATGGCAATATATGACAACATCAAATGTCACCATATTCAGTGTCTAAAAAAAGTGCCGCGCGCATTTTTCGTGGTCGCACAACTGGTATTGCCACAAACCCAGGTAAAGAAGCAATTAGAAAAACCTGGTTTGGGATAGCCTGCGAGAAGGCTTTCTGAGGAAAGAGAGCCTGCAAGGATCCCTATAACATTTACGTGCATGCGTCCAATATTTGGACGCAGAGCTCTGATTGGTTGATAACTGGTTCATATGAAGTGATTGACAAGCTTCCATAACCTTGCACTTCCCGTTTGTAAAATCGAGCAACGCAAAGTTTCGGAATTGCGGCAATGTAGAGATAAAAATGTCATGCACTTTGAACCTGGGTGACTTTTTACTGTAAATTAATATAGTATTTTATAGTAAATTAATATACTAAAAGCTTGCATGCTTTATTGTGTCCTTGGCTTGTCTGACTCCTAGGCTAAAAATAATTCTTGAGAAAGACTGCACAAATTCGCAAACCGAAACCTAGGGAGAGGCATTATATCACTTCTCTTTTATGAAACAATATTGGGAAATATTCTGATAATATTCAATGCATATTGCGTGTATTAAGCTTGTTTTACAATGTTATACTGACTATTTAATATTTATAAGTATGCGGCGTTAAAATGTACAGTAATTTTAATACTCAGTTTAATCGTCACTTTGTTTACAATAATTATCACATGCATGTTTACTGCAATTCCACTTTTTGTTGCAAAATTTGAACTATAAACATATTATTAAATTATGTCCAATGTCCATGGTATATCATATATGTCTATGTCTCACCAAAGACATAAATTTCAGTAAGTTATATTATTACTATATATATATACTGTATATATACTATTATATATTACAGCACGAAGCAATTCCAAATAACTGAATTAGTTAGCAGGTAATATACAATTTTAAACTTACTGTGCCTACAGAAGAAACACATGCAGTTGTAATAAAAAGTACAACTTGATATATTTTACTGTAAAACCTCGAGCCGTTTTAACTTTTTTAGTATGCCACAGTGGCGGGCTGTATGCGAAACTATTAACGAATCGGTTCATGTTTACAATATCGTAGTGTATTCCGGTCTGCGCTGATTGGTTGTTATTAATTGACCTGTGACATCCTAATTGAAGGGCGGCACGCAATCATCATAGGGATCATTGCAGGCTCTCTTTCCCCAGAGAGCCTGCTCGCAGGCTAGGTTTGGGATGATGAGCATAGTCAAATTCTTGACTTATTCAACTTTCTAAGTTTTTCCAGGTAAACAGATTCAACATTGAAATAAGCCCCATTCGGGACCTCATAGAATCCAAAATATTGTGTATGGACCAGATTTTTTTCAATTGTCTGGGATTTATACGACACTAGTTATAATTAGAGGGTCAACCAGTGTCGCAGAATTCGCTGCCTTCGTTCAACGAATATTTCTGCACGGCTGGTTCAACACTCAAATACTATACGTTAATTTCATACGGTTGTTTCACACAAATACTATACGTTAATTACAACAATCCGGTCTTTTACTTTACGACCTCTAACCATTCTAACTAAATTAGCGTTCGTCACAACATTTTATAACTTCGGTCCGCAAACCGTCATTTTCATCATGCAATACATACAATAGTGTTATTAGCATACTTTGCCTTGAATTCAACTTATCTATAACGAACTTACAATTATCTTTGACATACATGCGTCACACAACTAATTGAAATAAGAATAAGTGTTATTAGTATAATTTTGCAAGACACAGTTTCAACATATTTACAGCACATATATATTATAATAAAATTAAAGTTATAAATCCGACACTCTCCCCCCCTTGACTCACCTACGAGTCAAGCATCGCCTTTGTTTTCCACCTTGCGTCTATTGCAGCACTCCTTTTTTGTCGCCTCTCTGTACCGTCGACCTTTCTCTTAACCACATCCAAATTCACCTCACCAACTTCCTTGATTTCATCCCCTTTCTTTACCTCAACAGGGTACAAATGCTGACAAGGCCTGCTTAAGAGTTGCCTTCGACCATTTGTCATCACATACACCTTAGCACCACGTACAACATTATCCTTGCCATGAATCAACTCATGCACAACACCTGTCTTCCACTCCCCCCTTTTCTTTCCCTGCGCAAACACAATGACCACATCTCCAGGCTTCACAATCACAGATCCTTTCGCAGACACGCCAACCTTGTGGAACTCTCTTAGGTTTGTAAGATATTTCCGTTTCCACCTGTTCCAGAAGTGCTCCAAAATGATACTCAAATATTTGAAGCGTACAATGCTATTGCCCTTGGTAGAATCCTGTCCTAACTCCCTAACATCTACCTCAGTATTATCTGGTGTGTAGTAATTCGTCTACCGTAAACTAAATGTGAAGGTGTAAGCACCTCACTGCTTATCTCGTCATATTCGTATGTCAGCGGTCTCGAGTTTAGATTAGCTTCGACTTCAACCAGAACTGTCCTCAATTCATCAAACGTGAGCCTTGAATTTCCTAAAACTTTCCTTAAAGAAACTTTAACAAGACCTATCAGTCTTTCAAAAAACCCTCCCCACCATGGGGCCCTTTCCAAATTAAATCTCCAATCTACTCCCTTATTGGTTAAACAATTCTGAACTTCTTCGCTTCCAAATAACTCGCGCAGTGCTTTCTTTGCAGCTTGAAAGGTTTTAGCATTGTCCGAAATCATTATTTTTGGTGGCGCTCTTCTCCCTACAAACCTTCTAAAACAACGTAGAAATGTAGCCGTTTTCAAATCTTGCACTAACTCAAGGTGCACTGCTCGGGTCACGCAACAAGTAAATAGCGCGATGTAAACCTTACTCGTGCCGCTCTTTGTTTTAGCAAACAAAGGTCCTGCAAAATCTACGCCTGAGTTTTCAAATGGTGCTGCTCTATTGACGCGAAATTCTGGTAACGCCGCTTGCTGTGGCTTTGCACATGCCTTGCTATTCCATCGCATATTAGACATGTATTTATTGCTCGTTTCACCTCTTGTCTGCCCTTCGCTATCCAATACTTTGACCTGAGCTGAGCTAACGTTGGCCTAACTCCACTATGCATAACTGACTCGTGACACTGTGCTATGACTAACTCTGTCAACTTGTGCTTTCTGCGCAGAACTATCGGCTCTTTTGCTTCGGTATCTAACTCAGAACTGCCTAATCTTCCTGCACAGTGAAGTACCTCGTCTTTTTCTACCAAACCATACTGTCCCTCCAACTGCTTATACCCTTGCTGATCTTATAAAACTATCTGCCTTAACCCATGCTAACTCTGCACTTTTCAATTTACTCGCTTCCAACGCTCCACTAACTCCCTCTTTGCCTAACTTTTTTCGCTTTAATTAAATTGCTTATAAATCGCTTCACCCATGCTGTCACTCTCAGCAGCCTTTTGAGGCAACTGATCCTTTCTAAACTGATCAAATTGCAAATGCCAAACAATGAATCTGTATTGATCAACAAATTGACACTAAAAGATTTCTTCTGTTCCACTTTACTTTCTAAAGTTGGAACTGCTGCTACCAAACTCGGCCAGTCAGTAGGATTACCCTTTAGCCATGACGGCCCTGACCACCAACGATCACTATTTTTAAGTTCTGTTATGAAAACCCCTCTCGACCCTAAATCTGCGGGATTTTCTATACCTGGGCAATGGCCCCAGTCTCTCTTCGAACTTATTCTCAAAATCTCGTCCACTCTGTGTTGAACGAACTGCTTCCAGCTACCTGTATTACTTATCCAACACAATACAGTCTTACTGTCAGTCCAGTATCTCACGCCTTCAAACTTGTATTCTACTTCTAGCGCTTGTCTAACTGCATCCATTAATTGCGCTAAAATCCTAGCTGCCATTAACTCTAGTCTGGGTATACTAAGCTCTTTAATCGGAGACACTCTAGTCTTGCTGGCTACTAACTTAACTTGTGCCTTGTCGTTCACTATGGTTACAAGATAAATAACCGCACAATATGCTCGTTTTGATGCATCACCAAACCCATGTAACCAATACTTTGCTCCGCTTGACTGCCCTAAACTATTGTCTGATACGCTCGCATATCTCTCAACTGTCACCCATTTTGCCTCACTAAAATCCTTCAACCATTTCTCCCATCTCTCTCTCAAGCTTTTGGTCAAAACATCGTCCCAATCTAGACTACTAATACATATATCCTGAAAAAGAATTTTAGCTTTAGCAACAGTCGGGCTCAAAAGTCCTAGGGGATCAAATATACAAGCTAGAAGACTCAAAACATTTCGCTTAGTAGGCTCTAAATTCTGCGCTTTTTCAGTCAAGTGGTCAAAGTCAAATCTAATTAAGTCGCGCACGCAATCCCATTGCAATCCAAGCACCTTGCCAAACTGGCCTCCGGCCTGGCACGCAAGCATTTCCTTCGCATATGTTTGCTCTTCAGCCTCTTCTACATGTTTGTCTAAATCATTGGCGCTTTCTTGTATTTGCGTCCTTAATTCACTATCATTAGTGCGCCATTTACGCAACTTAAAACCACCTTCGTTCATGCGCTCCCTAGCCTTTGTATATAACAAATACGCACTTTCTGTGTTAGCTTCGCCGGTAGCTAAGTCGTCGACATAAAAACTTCTCAATAATTTATCGGCAAAATGCTTATCATACACTGCGTACTTACTAATATGGTGCCTTAACGTTGCATTGAGCAAGAACGGTGACGAGTTCACACCAAACACGACCCTACAGAAACGATAAACGACAAGATTTAAGTTATTGCGCAGCACGTCATCTACCCATAAAAACCTTAGACTATCGCGATCCTTTTCGTGAACTTCAATATTCAAAAACGCTTTTTCGATGTCCGCTACGAGCGCTACCCTTTGTTCTCGAAATCTAAGCAAAATATCGAAAAGAAGTGGATTGAGCGAGGGTCCAGCATTCAAACAATCATTCAATGAAACACCAGACTTTTGCGACTTAGCACTGGCGTCATAAACAATTCTGACTTTCGTCGTTGTTGCGTCTTTACGCACAACAGCTTGATGTGGTATATAATGTACTTTTGACTTGGGATTAATTACTTTATTCGGGCTTACCTTTTCAATAACACCTGCTTCTTCTTGCGCTTTTATGATGGAGTCATACTCACCTAATAATACTGGATCCTTGTTCAGGCGCTTTATCTGTCCTTTCATACGCTTAAGACTCAATTCATAGTTAGTGGGCAAGGGATCTTGGCTTTCTCTCCAGGGTAGGCCAACTGAATAACGTGTACCACTAAACTTTAAATCACTAATCACTGATTCATGCACATCACTATTCTGATCTTTTATCCCTATGCTCTCTAAATCCCAAAATTTAGTAATATCTACCAAAGGGTTTCGCACTTCGCTAGAAACAAGAGTTACCTGAGCAGTAACTGGTTCATCTACATCAAACCCACCGATCGGCCCAGAAACCACCCAACCAAGAACAGTATCAATCGCAACAGGTTCGCCGGGCTTACCGCGTCTTACACAATCCCTTTGCAACAACCACAAATAATCTGCACCCACAAGAACATCAACTTCTAAGTCCTCACTCGACTTACAAACATCAGACAACCAAAGATCCTTCAA